GTTTTTTTCTTTGTGTCTCACAATGATTTGACCGTGGGCAGTTTCTACTTTAGAGGTGGACACAGAGAAAAACAGTTTACTTTACAATATTAGACATTTGGAGCAACAACGAACACAATAAAACATAATATCGACACGTGACTTTGACCTCACGAGATCCTCATAACTGTTGACCCAATTGTCACTATCTCTGTTTAACCCTGTCCGTACGCCCTGGGGTCATTTTGTACCTCCGGGGTTGTATTCTTCACATTTTAGAATACTTCTAGTGCGAAGATGTCTTTGAAACTTTCAGTTTTTCTCAAATAATCATTTTGACAGACTATTATGCGAAGCGTACGGATCGGGTTAAAAGTAAATTTCCTCTTTGGAAAGTGGTGGCACAGAGTTCCCCACATCGTATGGATACGATAGTAAAACACAACGAACGGATAGGGTTAATACTGTTTATCACACATCTGACGTCACAAAGCACGCAGTCACATGACTTGCCCCTCATGGTTTGTTGTCACATGACTACAGATATCCCAAACCGGACTGGTGTTGTTACGTAAAAGACTAAGTGAAAGCAAAGATAAAGTATAAAGGGTAAGCTCTATAAATAATTTTAAAGTTACATCGAAGTTCATTTGATCTCGACAAGCGGCTTGGATTCCCGATCTGTCTCCTTTTAGATCTACCTCAGTTGAAGCTGGAAGTTAGGTCTGTAATGTTACTTTTAGTGAGTCATGTATCGTATCATCAAAAACAACTTCAACCGGAGTAGTGTTAGGCTTAGGCTTAGCCGAGGTTAGTGTGTTGTCAATGCCGTTTTTGTTCCTCAGGCCTTGTGGATCTTTATAGGCCTATATATCATATTATCTACTATTATTCATACAACCGCGAGTTCTACGTACTTATTAATCCAGAAAGATCTAGGATTCTAGGTAGAGATATCATATGTATCTAGATTCTAGATCCTCTAGATCTATGTCTATAGTATAGTCTATAGTCTATTAATAACTATTATAGATTTCTTTCCACTTTTAACGACATATCTCTAGTCTAGATCTAGAATTAGACAGCCACTACTGATCCAGACTAGATCTAGATCTAGTCTTCTAATACTATTCAGATAACTGCAGGATTCGAGCATTTATTTTCTGGAAATTATTGATCGCCAGCTGTTATACTTCCTGCTTGTCATGGCCATGGAAGTGGAGACAGACAGAAGTGTCACTAGGTGTCCCCACGATAATCTAGGCTAGGGCCTATCAGTACTAGATTAGTCTAGATCTAGATCTACTATCATTAACCCAGCCAGCATAATCATGTTTGAGTTGAGATAAGCCCTGATAATCCCTGGCCCTGATGAAACTGACAACACAACAACTATGATTACAGAACATGGTGGCAGTTGGTTAGAATAGTTCGATGACCTTTTTTTAAACAAAGTGACTATTTCTCCGAACGTTCGGAGAAATAGTGCCGATCTTTATTTCTCCGAACGGTTTCCGGCTTCCGCTCTGGTCGTGATTGTTTGCCTATTTGCGAGAGTTCGGCGCCAACTTTCATTCCGTCATTCTGCGAGGTCTGGGAAGGAGCAAATCAAAGGTGGTATCTGTTCTCAGCTTCTCCTCCGGCCGTGTGCCCACTGGTTTAGCGAGGCGGGTACTGCCTGAGGCACCCGAGAGACGGAGAAATCTGACCCTCTTTTCTATTGAGTGGACGGTTATCGTCCATTAAAAAAAAAAACGGAGCAAATTTTTGGGTTTAGATCTATTTCAATTTTCAAGAGCTAGATCTAGATCTAGTCTAGAGATTTTTAGATGAGTGTAAAAACGTGAAAAAGAAAGGTTTCACAACAGAATGAAATCAAAACTAGAACAGCCCAGAAACAACCACAACAATTAACAAATAAGGGCGTGTGTGCACCTGTCCGAAGAAGATTGACCGTTTTAACCCTAAATGTGCGTAATTTGTTTTTAAAAAGTACAGGATATTGCATGGAAATTATGGAACCACACACAAGGGGCCTGCCAGTGTCAGTACATGTACTTGGTTTTAGGGAACGCTCTAACATAGCACATTTAAATCTATACAGGTAAATATATTTAGAATCTAATGAAGGTAGGAACATCAAATTAAATGACGTTACACAATACCTTTTGTAGGAACATCAAATTAAATGACGTTACACTATACAACCCCCCCCCCCCCCCCCCCTTTTCCCCAACAAAAAAAAATTAATAGAAAAACAACACATCAGAACAATAACAAGAAAAAAAAAATACACACCAACAAAATATAACACCACAAAGAGGGAAAAATGAACGAAAAATAAAAGAGGAACAGCAATACAAATCGTATGTAACTGTAACGTATTCAACAAATCAACGTGGTGACAACAAGTGAGAAAGAGACGAAGTGAAGCTAAGTGAACTTTCTTTCAAAAGTAAAGAGTTTCATTTTCTTTTCTTTTTTTTTGACTTTTTCGGGGACCAAAAAATCGAGCTACGATTGATTGGTCGCGGCCTCGACAAACGCAGATGCTAGCTCTATGTGTCATTATCAATAACCCTCCATAGATCTAGATCTAGACAGCACACGAGTGAACGCAACACATTAAGTTTAAGAGCAGCACCCTTCATAGGCCACACGTCATATCTGTAGCGAAAAACTGTTTGGAACTGTAGCATTTCTTTATATAAATACGGACATTTTTTGGACCGATTGAACCATATTGTATACGAACAATCTTTGGTAGGCCTATAATATAATTATAGATCTATATTTTATTTTTATTATCCGAAATATGCGGGAAAGGGTGTGATTTCAGAGTGTTCGGAGAAATAGTGCCCAGCTTTATTTTCCCGAACGTTCGGAGAAATAGTGCCGGCCTTTTTGAAAGTACAGAGTTGAATAAATTTGTGAGGAGTGAGGCTTAAGTTATAACTCTTCACTGAATTAATATTGTAACCTATTGTTGCTGTCACAAGAAAAATAAATAGGCATAGGCATACCGGCGAACAGTACAGGGTGCACATATGACAATGTCTCTGTTTGTCCTTGTTTATTTACAATGAGAGTGGGAGTAAAAACAGGATTATTGCTAATTTTGGCCTTGGGCAGGGATTCTGTAGACATCATATTTATGTTATGTTATTATGCTACACAGCAAAATAATACAAAGCAGATATAATTAACTCTTTAAACCCTGAGTTTTTTCTACAGTCACCAAAACCTGGTGCACTATGTCTCATAATAGGCTTCCCTCATAATAACCCCAAAAGTTTGCCTCCCATTTTTAAATGGCGGAAACAAATGCTCAGTCATTATTAAAAAACTTGTTCGGGAATAATTCCGAAAAACAAGCAAAAACTAGATTGTCTAGCTCTAAATAAAACGAAAATTTTGTCACTTGTATCAGACGCTCCCAGCATCAGATGGGGAACAGAGTTATTACCGTCGGACGTTCCCAGGGTCTGATGGGGTTTAAAAAGTTGAAAGAGGCAGAGGAATGAGGAAAAGATGTTTTGAGATGAGACCTCTTTTAACATATTATATAGACGCTACACGGAGTGAAACAATCGCTAGAAATGTAGAAGAATCTCAAGGTTTCTAAGTGAATTCCTGGCGAAGTGAAAATATAGCACGTATAATCAATATGCCGATGACAGCTAGCTAGATTCAATAAAGGATTTCCAATCACTTCTAGGATACTGTTATAAAACTGCTATAACGGGGGAAAGTGAGCGTAAAGGATTATTTTTTATATACATAAAAAGAAAGCGGAGTGCATTACATACTATTTATCTGTAGCAGTAAATCCTATTTGTTGGTGGTTGGCGGATGCTCTGGTGTAGTTTGCTTCTTCTTTCCTATGAAAAATCTATCGTCCTTATCTCCCCTTCTTTTTAATGTTTGAAACTCTCTTGTAACACCTCTAATCCTCTGGCGCTCATATGACCTTATGCAGTTGCGAGCGTCGTAAAGCCTCTACTAAATCCCTTTAAAAAATCCTATTTTTAGTCACATAAACAAAAGTGAAAAGATCAAAGAAGTCCAACAGATTTCCTGTGGACTGCTTGCTGATGGAAGCATAATTAGGAAAAGACAAACATGCAGTTCCTGGGACACTGTCAAACGCCTTGAACATCTCTAGCTCTCACTGGTAAAATCGAGGGCAAATGAGGCAGGGGTAGACCCAGAGCAACTTACTTGGAGAGCATAAACAGATGGGTGACGGGGAAAGATTAGTATAAATGTAGTTTTTTTAAGAGCATTGATGCATAGGAATGAATGGAGAACCATGATGCCAATGTCTGTTGTAGACCTGACACTTGCGTTATGACATATGAATATAAATATATATAATAAAGGGCATACATGTCTAATATTATATTACAGTCGAACCTTCCTTTTTACCCAAGACATTGAATTAAAAAAATAGAATGAATGTCTCGTTGGGCACAGACTTAATAATGTGGCCGTCTTACACGGTGTCATTTTAGTGTAGAAAATAAGCAAGGGGGGAGTGGGTAGTGACCGTTTGTACAGGTGATGGCTTTATGAAGGTGGCCGTTAGAGCAAGCTCGACTGTATGTGTGTGTGTGTGTGGGGGGGGGGGGGGGTCTTTTGTGTAACAAAACTGAAAGGGTTCAGAGTATGAGAATGGTTTTCAATTCAAACTTTGTGTCCATCTCATATTTTTCAGTTTGTGCGACATACAAGATGCTTTCGCTGTGTTGTGTCTTGGCTGTGCTGGTGGTACAAGCCTATGCCGCCCCCGAAGAAGATCTTGTCACCAGTTTGCCCGGTCTGGGCTGGAAGCCGAACTTCAAGCAGTACTCGGGGTACCTTGACGCTGCGCGCTCGCGACATTTGCACTACTGGTAAGTCCTGAGGGCTGTGCTGTGGTGAGATGACAGAGTTTGTTTAAAAAATAATAAAAATCAGGCTTTTTCTGTTTCTACATTTTGTACTCTTTGATGATGGGTTCATTTATTCATTAAACTGGTTATAAACACCACTTCCTTACTTAGTACTGCTTAATGTCCTTTAAAGAATAACAATAGAATGGGTTCACCTAATCCCCCCGGGTCAGTGCTACTGACTGAAGCGGGAAAATGTCTGTTTCTCCTATTTTGTTATGTTGATGAGCGACTGATTTCACCACACTGCTTCCCAAATGCTATTTATTATTATTATTATTGTTATTATTATTATTATTATCATTCTAACTGTAACTTTCAGGTTTGTGGAGTCGTCCAGTAACCCCAAGACGGACCCTGTAGTTTTGTGGATGAACGGAGGTCCAGGCTGCAGCTCTCTCCACGGCATGCTCACAGAGCACGGACCCTTCAGGGTGAGACACAGCTCACTCTCTCTCTTTCTCTCTCTCTCTCTCTCTCTCTCTCTCTCTCTCTTTCTCTCTTTCTCTCTCTCTCTCTTTGTGGGAGCGCGCTGCATTGTTGTTGTTGGGTTTTACTGTCGGGTCAGGTTTGCGAACTTATGAATCGTCTATTGTCTTTATCTCCCCTCCTTCTTTTTTGTGTTTGTTACTCTCTTGCAACACCTCTAATCTTCGGCACTTATATGACCGTATTGTGTTGCAAGTGCCGTAAAATATTTATTAAAACTAAAAATCTCAGCACTTGAGTTTTCATTCGTTTTTTGTTTTTCAGATTCAGGATGATGGAAAGACGTTGGGGCCAAATCCTTTTGCTTGGAATCAGGTCAGTAGATGAAGTAATGGAAGGGCGAATAGTATGTTTATTAACACAGTATTGCAATGTTGGCTTTGTTCTTAGGACTTACGTATGGACAGCCAGCTACAAGGACATGGGTTCGAATCCTGGACCTGACCCTATGTTGTGTCCTTGGGAAAGACTCTTCATCCAAGTGGCAATGGATATGTGGCCAGAGACAGTGGACGATGTTGTCTGTATGTTAGTGTCATGTTACAAGTATTCATATGACCTTAGAGCTTGCATCAGAATAACTTTGAGTTACTGTCAGAATACTGAGTATGTATCTAGCTTAACATTATTATTGTTATATTACTGTTCATTTATTTTATGCATGTGACTGTAAGCCTGCATGTCTGTGCATGTTTGTGTGTGTGTGTGTACGTGTGTGTTTGTGTGCATGTGTATGTGTGTGTTTGTGCGCATGTGTGTGTGTGCATGTGTGTGTGTATGTGAGTACGTGTGTGTTTGTGCGCATGTGTGTGTGTATGTGAGTACGTGGTGAAACACCAATCCAGTGTACCAGGATCTGGACAAACAAGACGTATCTTATCTTTAAAAAAAAAAAGGCTGACTTGTGGGTGATTGGAGGCTGACTTGTGGGTGATTGGAGGGTGCTCTGGTGTGGTTTGCCCCTTCTTTCCTTTTAAACATCTATCGTCTTTATCTCTCCTCCTTCTTTTTTGTGTTTGTTACTCTCTTGTAACATCTCTCATCTTCGGCACTTATATGACCTTATTGTGTTGCAAGTGCCGTAAAACTCTTACTATAACTAAAAATCATTTACATACAGGTGGCCAACATGATCTACCTGGAGGCGCCGGCCGGTGTCGGCTTTTCTTACTCCGACGACGGGAACTACACAACCGATGACGACGAGGTAAGTCGCTGGTGGTAACTACTCCACCTTTGTATACATCCAGTCTTTGGAGAGAGGTGACTTCACTCACTCATCAACAATAACTCGTCTGATATAATAAGATTTAGACAGATCCCAGTCAGAGATGAGGTTGGAAGAAGGCGGTGGCGATGGATTAGACATGCTCTCAGGAAGACAGGCAAAGTTTGTTTTTGTTGTTGTTTTCAAATTCCTTCAGCTGTGAACATTTCGCTCTTGGCAACGCAATGCCTCCCCCAAGTAACCACATGTCCTTGTCATCTGCTCAACGCCAGAGTAGAGCAGCCTAGGCTAAGCATAGCAAAGAAAGTGTTTAATTGGAATCCACAGTTTATCGGAATCCACAGGGTAAAAGATGAAGGGGAAGACTACGTGAAACGTGGAGAAGAATCACAGAAATTGATGTACAGAAAAGTGGGAAGACATGGAATAACATCAAGAGGATAGCCCACGATAGAGAAAGGTGGAGAATGTTTGTCCGTGGCATTTACCCTGTTGCACGGTGAGAAAGGCAATGATGATGACGATGATGATGTTTGCCTGTGCCATTCACTACTACACCACAAGCTGACTTTCACACGGTCACAGAACTGAAACACGAATGCAAAATTTCCTATGAAATGAGTGTAGTAGAGAGGAGCCTGATGTCTCCTGTTTTGATAGTCAGATAGCGTCATTTTTGTAAAGATGGGGCAGGATTTTTTTTAAACATCGTATTTAAAGGGGGAAAAGTTCATTGTCTTTTATAGTTGATGATGAAACGAAGGCAAAAGCCTGCTTGTTCATAAAACTTGTCTGTGTGTTTTGGGCTCAATACAAATAGCAGGGATGCCAAATCTCTGTTTTTTCCGGCTTTTTCCGTTTTTTTCATACACTGAAAGGGGAGAGGTAAGAGAGATGTTTTTGTTTGCTCATTTCAAAACGTTGCAAGGTTCGTTTTAGGTGAGATGTGATGCTCCACTCATTTTCAGGTTTAAAAAAAAAAATCATTTGGCATCCCTGAGATAGTGTCGAAGGTGTTCTGAGTTCAGCTTTCTATTTTTGTTTTTAGAAGTGAAACTAATTTTGGGAATATATTTGTTTTCATGTGTTTGCTTATATTTGAAGTAAAAGAAAATTGTCTGACTCTACGTACAAAACCTTGCTGAGAAGATACCTTTTTGCTAGTCTCTGGACATTTTTTGAGACCATTGACTGAAGGTTTCTGTCAGTTCTGTGGTTTGAAAAAAGATGTAGGAGTTCTTTTCCTAAGTTCAGATACGCTCTTAAAGAGATGTTAAGCTAGTTAGTAGCATGCATTTTATGACTCCATTCTAAGGTCTGGAATGCAGTGCCTGTTAATTTAAGAAATAACTAAAACCTTTTAATGCATTCAAAAGTTAACTCAGTGTTTAGAATAAACAGAAACAGTATATCTAGATTTTAAATTCAGAACATGACGTATTGTTTATGTGTTGCTACTTGTATTGTTTATGTGTTGCTACTTGTATTGTTTATGTGTTGCTACTTGTATTGTTTATGTGTTGCTACTTGTATGAAGAGCGCTAACAGTCTATGCATTTTAATGGGGGTTGAGCGCTATGGAATAGAAATGTCTTAAATTGTTACTATTATTATTATTATTATTACTCAAGCTAACTGTTTTAGGTCTGTCCCTCTCTCCCCGGCTAACGGTTGTTTTACGGTACTATCTCGTCCCCTCTCTCCCCATCTAACGATTGTTTTACGGTACATTATCTTGTCCTCTCTTCAGGTGGTTGTGTGACCGAGTGGTTTGTGCACTCGCCTCACACGTGGGCATCCCGGGTTCAAATCCTGAGCCCGCAAGGTGTCCCACCACATTATTGGGACCAAAACTGCATGCTGGTGTATCACTGTTCTCGAGGATTTGAAACGTGTCGCTCAAAGTGAGAAGGGGAAGGCGTTACTGCTTTTGTTTGGGTGTGTAGGGTTACAGCATTGAGCGACGACGGTGGATGAAATTGTTCCCTGTGATTGGTGTGGTGCTGTCTGATTGTATGTTATATATACATCTAATATATATATATTTTCATTATTTGAATGACCTAGTATTACATAAGCACAGAAAAACACTCTTTTTTTTTTTTTTACCCTATCCATACGCCCTGGGGTCATTTTCTACCTCCGGGGTTGTATTCTTCACATTTTAGAATACTTCTAGTGCGGAGATCTCTTTCAAACTTTCAGTATTTCTCCAAAAATAATTTTGACAGGCTGCTATACAAAGCGTACGGATCGGATTAACGAGTAAATTTCCTCTTTGGAAAGTGGTGGCTCAGAGTTCCCCACGTCGTATGGATACGATAGTAAAACACGATGTACGGTTAGGGTTAAGTGGTGGCACAGAGTTCCCCACGTCGTATGGATACGGTAGTAAAACACAACGTACAGATAGGGTTAAGTGGTGGCACAGAGTTCCCCACGTCGTATGGATACGATAATAAAACACAACGTACGGATAGGGTTAAACAAGAGGAAAGTTTGTTAAGCTTTTGTTTTGAGTAAACCTTTTCACTTAATACTATGGAAAGACATCAGGAAAGAGTTACAAAAAATGAAAATTTGGACTTCATAAAAACTCGTGGGAAGTCTGAGCAAATTGAACAGTTTGTATTTGTAGGAAACAGAAGGCTCTTGATTTGTCCAGGCTATTGACTGTTTGATCCTACTGATTAACGGAGTACTTGTCATTGATATTATGCTTAGTCAAAGTATTCAAAAAGTTTTTCCTTTCCTAGGTGGTTAGCTGGTGCTCTGGTGTGGTTTGCTCCTTCTTTCCTACCAAACATTATCGTCCTCATCTCTCCTTCTTTTTTTGTGTTTGTTTTTCTCTTGTAACGCCTCTAATCTTCGGCACTTATAAGATAAGATAAGATAAGATACATCTTTATTGTCCAGATCCTGGCACATTGGTTTGGTGTTCCACCACGTGTACACACACACACACACACACAAACACACACACGCACACACGTGCACACACATGCACACACAAGTAGGCTTACAATTACATGCATAATATAAATGAGCAGCAATATAAACAATAATAATCGTAAGCTAGATACACACTCAATGTTATTTTGATGCATGCTCTAAGGTCGTAAGTATACTTATACAAGATGGTTAAGATGGAAGCATTTTGATAGATGATGGTAAAAATGACCTTATTGTGTTGCAAGTGCCATAAAACTCTTACTAAAAGTTTTTCCCTTGATGAATTCTTGTGTGTCTCAGGTGGCAATGAACAACCATCTGGCTCTGAAAGCGTTTTTCACCAAGTTTCCCGAGTACAAATCTCACGACTTCTACATCTCGGGCGAGAGCTACGGGGGAATCTACGTGCCCACCCTGGCCAGTGTGGTGCTGGACGACCCCGCCATCAACCTCAAGGTCAGTCGTCCTCATGTTTCTGTATTTTGACGGGATTAACGAAGACTTTTTTCTTCTTTTTAAAAAAAATTTCTGTGCCAATTAGTTTTGAGGCTGTTGCGAAAGTTTTGGTGAGTGCGTTATCTAGTTTGTCTCGTTCACTGGTTGGTGGGTGGTTGGTGGGTGCTCCTTCTTTCCTTTCAAACATCTGTCATCCTCATCTCACCTCCTCCTTATTTGTGTTTGTTACTCTCTTGTAACACCTGTAATCTTCGGCACTTATATGACCTTATTGTGTTGCAAGTGCCGTAAATCTCTTACTGTGAGCGGTTGATGGTTGCTGTGGTGTGGTTTGCTTCTTCTTTCCTATTAAACATCTATCATCCTTATCTCTCCTCCTTCTTTTTTGTGCATGTTACTCTCTTGTAACACCTCTCTCTAATCTTTGGCACTTATAGGACCTTATTGTATTGCAAGTGTCGTAAAGCTCTAACTATAACTAACTAACAGTTGTGTTGTGTTGTGTCTCCCCCAGGGTTTTGTGGTGGGCAACGGCCTGTCCGACGACGACCTCAACGACAACTCCATCGTCTACTTCGCGTACTACCACGGGCTCATCGGAGAATCGTGAGTCACTGACGTCACTGTCTGAGTGTCTTGTCCTTTTGTTCGTTGTCAACCATTATGTTGCTTTTGTGTTTTGTGGGCAGGGTGTTAGTGAGTGAGATCTGCTTTGGTAGAAGGGTAGGGAGGGGGAGGGTGGGGAGGAGGAGGGTGGGAAGGAGGA